AAGCCGGCGTCAGTGACTCTTGACTCGCTCGTGTCCAGTGAAGCCGGCGTCAGTGACTCTTGACTCGCTCGTGTCCAGTGAAGCCGGCGTCAGTGACTCTTGACTCGCTCGTGTCCAGTGACTCTTGACTCGCTCGTGTTCAGTAAAGCCGGCGTCAGTGACTCTTGACTTGCTCGTGTCCAGTGAAGCCGGCGTCAGTGACTCTTGACTCGCTCGTGTCCAGTGAAGCGGGCGTCAGTGACTCTTGACTCGCTCGTGTTCAGTGAAGCGGGCGTCAGTGACTCTTGACTCGCTCGTGTTCAGTGAAGCCGGCGTCAGTGACTCTTGACTCGCTCGTGTCCAGTGAAGCCGGCGTCAGTGACTCTTGACTCGCTCGTATTCAGTGACTCTTGACTCGCTCGTGTTCATAAAACATGTATGAAGTATGATTTATCATTACATAGCGTCAACACCTTTTAAGATCAGAAATTCTAAATGTGGAGATTGGAGAACTGCATGTTTTAGTTAGTTACAAGATGAAAGTTCAGGATGAAAACTTTTGTCTTAAAGGGATAGTTCACCCAAAAATTAGCCCATGATTTACTCACCTTCACGTCATCCTAGGTGTATATGACATTAGTCTTTCAGACAAATACAATCGGAGTTATATAAAAAAATGTCGTAGCTCTTCCAAGCTTTATAATGGGAGTGAATGGCTAAAGAAAATTTGAAGCCCAAAAAGTGCATCCATCCATGATAAAAAATACTCCACATGGCTCTGGGGAGTTAATAAAGGCCTTTTGAAGTGAAGCCATGGGTTTTTGTAAGACAAATACCCATATTTATACCTTTATAATCTAAAATAACTAGCTTCTGCCAGACGACCATACGCATACTACACAAGTCGACTTGCGCCACAAGAGTAACCCGTGACACATGTATGACGCAGGATGTAGGAGTATCGTAAGCTTAGACGCCTCTCTCGGTTTAACCAAAAAGTGCTGTGCAACAAACTGAAGCTCCTCTTCTATTATATAGAAATTCTCTGACATTTCTCTTCAAAATGGCTAATTCGCAAGCAGTGTTTTGTTTCGCTCTTTCCTCTGAGCTTCCACGGTCGTCATTTACGTTGTGCGTCAGGTCAGGGGTTAGTCTTCCACTGTAAATCGATGCGTATTGCCGTCTGGTTGAAGCTAGTGATTATAGTTTATAAAGTTTTGAATATGGGTATTTTCCTTACACAAACGCATGGCTTCGCTTCAGAAGGCCTGTATTAACCCACTGGAGCCATGTGGAGTATTTTTATCATGGATGGATGCACTTTTTTGGCCTTCACATTTTTTCCAGCCATTCACTCTCATTATAAAGCTTGGAGGAGACAGGACATTTTTTAACCCTCTGGGGTCGGCTATCGCGCCGGCACGACAAGCTCACTTTTTTCCTTATCAGTGCAAAAGAGACTCAAATTACACTGTTGATTTTGAAGTGTTGTACATCATTAGATCCTGTTAAGTGTCTATTTTTTTTGTGGATACTCACAATAAAAACAAAGTGTTCTGCTTTTTGTCAAATAAAGAAAAATAAACATGATGCAAATTTTGCCTTCTCTCTGTCAGTGAAGTTCATTCTGAAACGCGTCCGAAAATTGTAAACTGTAACTCAGTGAATACTTGTCACACAGGCACGAAAGATTTTTCGTTATGAAGCTGAAATTCTCTTCTTTTAAATGAAGTAATTTATATAAAAAACAAATATTCTCAGTTTATGTAATCTGTATGAAAAGAGAGAGATGTCAGTCTTTTTCCTTTCAGCTAATTATTATATATAACACGTATTACGTGTTAATGTGACCACGCCCATTGAGAGCGCGCGCTATTCAAAGCAAATGTTGAGGCAAGCCATGAAAACGCCCACATCAGCTGGATAAAACATCCAGTTTAAGAAGAATCTTGTACTTTACCTCGTCTTGCTGCGCTGTGAGGAATAATACTATCGTAATAATCCTGGAAAAGTTACCTCAGAAGTGCTGGTAGTTTCATTTCGAGGAGCAACTGATTCAGCTGATGAAGTAAGTCATTTATTCTTAAGTGCTTTGTTCTAATCGCGTTATTGAATAGTGTCTGTAAACTCCACAAAGACTGTTTAAATATGAATTGCGTGTCTGTGTGTGAATGAATGAATGGCACAGACGCGCGCGCGATGTTGTTTACTACAGCTGTCCATCGCATCTGTGCGTTCATTAACTCTCGCTCCTACATTAGTAAACGTTATTTTTACATGAACACATCCAAACTATATTGCTATAGCCTACTGAGATTTGTTCTAATCGCGATATAGAATAGTGTCTGTAATGACAACATTTCGTTGACTAGTTTTGGATAGATTATAAAGTTTTTACTCTAAAATAGACATCAAATAAGCTTTTGTTAGTCAGTTTCTGCTC